GGAGTCCACGTGAACTGTCGAACGTGGATCACTGATGGCGAATCTTAGATCCGGCCGTTAAGTTGCCTTGGTGTGGTGGCGGTTGTTGATCTTGCGATCCCTTTGAGTTGCTTGCAGCCTACGATGGCTGGATCTTGGGGGGAGTTGAGAGATCGATGAATCTTCACTAAATGCTGTGGATCCGGAGCTTGCACGTATAGAATAAGTATTAGGTAGTCGGATCTGGCCAATATACTATCCAGGTATCCGATCTACGCTAAATACAATATTCCTAATACGAGATCACATTATATGACCAGTATGAGCCTTGATCCGAGGTGTCCGTAGTACATTAAGTGTGGATCAAACAAAGAAACCAGCCACTTGTGCCCAATGATGCAAATTCGATTATCTGTTATTCCTAAGTTCTTGATCCTGATTTGTCTCACCCTCTACTATCTGGATCCACATATTTCCTTCCCATCGTCTGCTTATCTTCGGATCTGACTGTATACCGTCGAATGCTTACCTTGTTTACTTGATCCTGGATCGCCTTGGGTAATCATATCTATATCAAGTATAATTATACCTAGATCTGGCACCTATAATTAGGTTCTTCCAGATCGTTCCAGTCAACTCAGAATCAGTTGATCTGAGCATCAGACCTCCTCAGATCTGGATCTACCGTAGTCACTTCAGATCCGAGCATACCTGTCACTCCACTTGATCCGATCATTTCCTGTCTGCCATTTCTCGGAATCCACTTCACCACAATCTCCTCCTGTCTGTAGTCGTTGCTGTCGACCAGGATCACTGCAGACACTTCTTCTTATTCTCCATTTGTCCCAGATCTCCAGTTCTCCATTATGGCCAACGCCCCAAGCCCCAGTGGATCCTCGAGCGGTGGATCACCCGGATCCGCCTTCGATCCTCATGCCACGCGCGACGAGCTCCATCGTTACGCCACGCGCCTCCTTCGTCGTGAGGGCGAGCTCACTGCGACCTGGCCTTCCAGACTCTGCCTCGCGGCTCGGATCCGCCCTCCGTGGAGCACCTGGACCGTCTGGATGATCTTCGCGATTACATCCGTGAGCAAGATCAAGCGACCGCCTTCATGCAGCAGACGTTCCACGGTCTTCGCGCGGATCGGGACACATTACAAGCTACGCTCAACTCCCACGTCCCAACGATCCCCGATCCACACACATCCGCCACCCTCGTTCGCTCCCTCGAGCAAAAAGTCGCGGATCTGGAGTCTCAGGTGACTCGGTTTCTACAGGAACGTGAATATGCAGGCGCGGAGGTCCTGGATCTGCAGGAGCAACGCAATATAGCGGATCACGCCCGAGATCAAGCCACGCACCAGTTGCAGGTCACTGAGGGAGTGATGTCAGGCCTTGGATCGGGCTGAAGCCGATCTGCTGGTCGCGCGTCAAGTCGCGGCTGTGGTTTCAACGGATCCGTCTTCGACGGATCTCCAGGCCAAGCTGGATCAGCAGATGGCAGATCGCGTAGCGCTCCAGGATCGGTTCGACCAAGTCTCAGCCGAGCGAGACTCGTTAAACGGGAGGGCCCAGTCCATGGATCTGGAGGTGGATGCCCTCCGTGTTCAGATCAAGGATCTAATGGTGGAGTTCAAACAAGCGAGATCGCGCAACGAAGTCGCGCGAGTCAATTTGACCGGCGCGGTTAAGCGCGAGAAGGGATACCGCGATGCAAGCGAGGATCTGAGTACGTTTCCCTTTCTTTGATATAGATCCACTCCTTTTGCTAATAAAATATCATTCTCCTTCTTGCAGAACGTGATGTCATCGTGGCTCGGACTGCATACGCCGACGCTGAGCGGTCGATCACGGAGCAAAAGGGCCAGATCTTGAAGTCAAGTCGCCAACTGGTCACCTTGATCAAGAGCGCACAGATCTGCGGCGTGAACTTGCGGAAGGCGCTGGAAATGTTGTCCACAGTGGCCGCTGGGATGGGATCAAGTCCCCCAACGACCAAACTTTGTCTCGATAGTCCTCCACGAGATCGAGAGCAGCCGAATCAAGAGAAGCGGGATCAAGAAACTCCAGATCACGATAAACCAAGTCAGGAGAATTCGGATCAGGACAACCAAAGTATGGAAAGTGGAGATCATGAGAAGCCAGCTTAAGATCAGCCAAGTCAAGAGAGCTCGGATGAAGACATGTCGGATCAAAACAACTCAGAGCTCGACAAGTCTGATAAGGATCAGCGTGACAAAGATCCCGACTACACACCCACACCCAACGGGTCTGAGGGATCTTCTTCCACGGATAAGCGTCAGAGCCTTCCCCCCAGTAAGAGATCTCGTGGTCTCTCCCCTTCTCGCGACGCGGATCGTCCTTCTAAGCGAAAGGCCCCAGACTGTAGATCACAAGCGGGATCTGGATCACGAGGAAGATCAAGACGACCACGACATGGGCGGGGCTCGGACGTCGAAGAACCCTCGGATCACGATCATCCTCTACTCGACAAGTTGTTGGAGAAGGATCGCGGGGCTGCGAGTCCCGTTCCGGCCCCTTAGCCACGCTACTTATCTTATGAGAAGGGAGGATCCAAGAAGTCCGACACTCCAGCGAGTTCGGATCCTGCGGCCAAATCCAAGCCCAAGTCTCTAACAACGGATGATCATATGTCCTCTAAGGACACGCGTCTAGAGGAAGAAGATCAAGAGTCGGAAGCCGACACTTCGGGCGACGGAGATGACGACGAATCGCTGAACGACATGCTACAAGCTCAGACGCTTATGGCTCTCTCTCGATCTAGATCCGAGCAGAGACGTCGCGATCATGCTGCTCCTCGGCGCACCGGAGCTGGAGGCGCTGGGGATCCCGAATCCGGCGGTGATTCCGACGGTGACGGCTCAAGCAACGGTAGCGGTGGGGGCGGCGGCGGATCTCCGGCGGATGCGGCTGGAATGCCCCTTGTTTCTACCATGCTTCCCCGACGCCTATTCGCCCCCGATAACGTATGTATTCCTGGCCGCCAGCAGACTCGGCACTACAACATCGCGGACGTAAATCCGTGGGTTATCCAGCGGATAAACAGCGGATCAACACTCTGACAATCATGACGATGACCTTGGAGGTACCATTTCGCTCTGAGTGGATCTTCCCCAGCCATCTTCCTCGAGCCGCCGTTCCAAGATCTGGCCAATATTGTAGTCACTTGATCACGGGTCAGAATGTCCGTGATCTCATGGCCGCCCTTCCCTGGAATGTTCTCACTGGAGCTAACATCCCCGAGCCCATGTCGTTTGAGATCACAGTCGATGGCCTCTTGGGATTCCTGATCGAGAGATACTCTGCGGTGGAATTCCAAGAGCTGATCGCCTATTGGGAGTCCACACACCGTTTCCCAGTTTCGTTCGCCTTGATCCACAGCGATCTATATTTGGCCACTTTTGTCGTGGAGCGGAAGAACCGTCGGTCTCATGCGGGCGCCCGGTGAAAGCAGATTTTAAACCTCTTCTTCATCGCGATGCGTGAGGGCTGGCGTGATCTGGATCTGCTGTTGGATCCTTTTTTCTTCACTTTCCCAAGCGTACGGATGAGGTAGCTTGGTATCCCGGGATCGAGGCTCGCAGTGCCAACATTGCTGATCCGCAGTAATCGCCGTGAGCCCGCTGACCTGATCGAGGCTCTCGCTGAGTGCGACGCCGCGGATCCGTGGCGTACTCATTACCGACTGCATCACGCGGGCCATCCCGCTCGCCGGATCGCTCGTCTTGCTGGCAAATTCTTCAACATGGCAGCCCTGAACCCCAACGCGCCACCTCTTACTCCTCCGCCATGATCCTGACATTTATCTCTACATTCTCTTCGGATCATCTACGTTTGGGCGTAATACATGTCATTTTTTTTCGGATCTATGTTCCCCGGTATCTTTCGCGTTTGTATTGATCCATAATCTCTCCAATAATGCCGTCCTAGATCCACAATCGAAATTCAGCCTCGCTCATTCCATGTTCATCTCAAATCAATCTCGCTCCACTTCGATCCTCTGTTAACATATCATCATATACAAAGCCACATAGCCTCTGTCCTCCGATCTGCAACCTCCTTGCAGATCCATCGACTTTCAGCCACACTAATGACCAATTCACCAGTGTGGATCCCGAGCTCACGGCTCCTCGTGAGATTGCATCACACCGAAACGGTTGCGATTACCGCGATCTCGCAAGAACTCGTAGAGAAGAGCACCGCAGTTGAGATCTGCCTCGTCTATCCAGGTCGGATCTTCATATCCACGCCAATGTACCAGAAATTCTCGGTAGACCCGGCCATACCTCGTCCTCTTGCCAGTTCTCATATCGTAAGAATTCATTCCACTTCGTATTCATCCGGATCCCGAGTTTGGATCCAGCTATCCTCAGGTAGGAGCGCTTCATCGAAGTCCACCCGATCTTCTTCCGATCCGTCCAGCCAAGCTATTGGTCGATCTGGGAATGCCTTGACCAGTTTGATCTTCGACACATGCACTACCGGGAAAATGCTGTATGCGGATCCTGCTACCTCTAGCGTCACAGCATACTCTGCGATCTTCTCGGCGACGCGGAATGGACCATGCCATAAGTGTGCCAGCTTTTTCGCATAACCTTCACGCACTCGATCTAGGTACAACCAGACCCTTGATCCAGACTCTACAGGATGAGGTCGTGCTAGATCATTATGCATATCGGCCCGATCCGCGATCGCTTCACCTAGGCGTTGGTTCACTTGTTCTCTGGCCTGTTGATAGTATATTTGCATCCGATATCACCACCTTCTTGGATCTCGATCGTGTTTGCGAGTACTTTCCACCGGGATCTCAACTTCCAGGGTGGATCTAGGATCCCAGCCATGTATAATGTAGAAAGGTGTTTCACCTCGGATCCGATCTCTCGCGGTATTGATCACGAAGGTGAGTCGTTCCGCACACTCGTCCCACTCTCGTTGATCCAGATCTTCCACGTATATCTTAAGAGCCCTGGTAGTTGTCTGGACCATACGTTCGGCGGATCCATTAGCTTGGGGCCGATACGCCATAGTAGCCCGTTGGCGCTATCCCAGGATCTTATTGAACGACTGAAAGAAATCAGACATAAAACCAGGCTCCCGGTCGTGTCGGATCACCTCGATCGCGCCAAATTGACGAATGACACACTCTTCGTAAGTCTCAGCGATCGTTTGAGCAGATCTAGAGGCGCTGGCTTTGGCGATCACATATCCTGAGAATTGATCCACGAAGATCAGCAATTCCGTGTTGCCGTTGAAGGATCTAGGCAATGAAGGTATATGATCCATGGCTATGATCTGAAATGGGTACGTTGCCTGAAAGTTACCAGGCGATTCGCCCTGGATCCGAGGTCTTCCCTTGCCTGTCTCACAATCGACACATTCTCCCACGTATCGCTGTACACTCCTATACAGACGTCTCCAGTGGAAGTGATCACGGATCCGATCATAGGTGCGACCGACCCCTTGGTGACCACCCTGTAGACCCGTATGATAGTGGTGCAAAATGTCCTGTTGAAGGGTCTCAGGTATCACTAGTCGCATCAGCTTATCTCGATCTGCGGTAGCTTCCTTAGTTGTCGGTCAATAGAAGAGCAGATCCAACTGATCCACTGAATAATTCATAGCAATAGATCCGAACATCTTAGCCTCTTCTTGTGTCAGATCCCGGATCCCCCCGATCAAATACTTCTTCATGTCCATGATCCACGTCTCCTCGTCCTGTGCTTGACGGATTCGTTCAATACGCAGCTCTTTTACGACCTCTTCTCGTAGGGAATTGGGATCAGATCCCACACGCACTCCCGATCTAGCCTTAGATCGGGTCGTTACAGCTGATACTTGTGCGATCTTTTCTTCAACTTTCACTATCAGGATCTCATCCAACCGAATCAACGTTATGAGATCCTATCTCCGCGTCAGACTCTATCTCGATCCAACATTGCCGTTGTAGAGCAGCACTCGCTAGGCTGTCAGCACTCGCATTCCAGTCTCGTTTGACGTGCAATAGTTCATGATCTGGCCACGTACATAGTCGATCCAGGGCTCGCTGACGTAACAGTGTCAGACCTGGCGCCTTACAATCGATCTCTCGTCGTACTTGATGGATCACCAGGTTTGAGTCCCCGCAGATCACTAGACGCTGTGGATCCAGATCTTCCAGCAGATCCAGACATAGCAGACCATGGTATTCTGCTTCATTCACCGTCAAGCCTTCGGCATATCCTGATCTAGCCTTCAACATTCTCCATTCGGGAAGCTTCCACAAGATCGCGCTGTAGGCGCCTTCACCTCTCTTGACGCGGGCTGATCCGTCGAAGCTGACGGCATATAGCTCCTCGTCTCGTCCGATAGTGGGGATCGGAGCTTGGATCGTACGTCTTGGTTCCTTTTTGGTGGCGATCGCGATCAATGCTTTATCCACTTCTGATCTAGGGGTAATGCTGACTGCCAGCGTTCCCAAGATCTCATCCTCTCCTTTGGCACACTTGGTGATCTCAAGTGTCCAAGGCGACAACAGAGCAGCCCATTGTCCTAAACGTCCTTGTAAGGCCGTGGATCTGAAGACCCACGCCAACGTCGAATGTCGGGTTAACACACGGATCGGACGTCCAACCAACGCATTGTAATTGAGGTCCAGGATCCTCAGAAGGGCTAAAACCTCCTTCTCCGCGATCCCGTAGTTTAGCTCGTTCGACTTCAGAGTACGGCTGCAAACGTCACGGGGTAGTAGATCTGGTCGTATTCTTGCATCAACGCTCCCGAGATGGCCCAATCGCTAGCGTACACCACCACTGTGGCCTTCCGATCTGGGTCAAAATGTCTTAAGATCGGAGTAGTAGCAATCCTGGTTTTAAGCACATTGAAAGACCGATGGGCGTGGATCCACCGCGAATCCACCTCAGTAAGGTCGGGCGCCTCCAGATCCAAGGTCTTTCGGTGGTCGACACCCTGATCTTCCTGCGATCCTCGATCTGCGTCCTCCCCTTTCAATACTTGTTGGATCCGCGCTTGGGTAGCTTCCTTCGTCATCGCAGCAAAGCCGATTTCTCGTAATTCGTACAGAACCGACGCGTAGATCGCGTAGTCTTC